GTTTAGTCGGTTACACGAAAACAAATTAAGCTTCCATTTGTTTTTGAATAAATGCGTGCATTACTTTGGCTTTGAAATGGTTATCTTCTTTTATGTGCGGTCGGTCAAAGCTTTTCACAGACGCTCCATAAAAACGATGCACTTGCCCTTTTGATATCTATTTTACTTTTGATGTGGGAATTGGTTAAACTCCTGATGTCATTCTTAACCTTTGGAATCCTGATTGTTGTTTTTATAACGCTCGCTTATGTTTGAAATAATGTTACGATTTTCAAAGGTAGACCATTTGCTTAGTTCTGTTCCATTGATTCCTTTTATTTGACCTCCACAAGTCAATTCATTGATCTTTTTTTCTCCAACCTTTGTGTTTGAACACTATTTCGACATCCAGCTTATGTATTCCTAAGATGTATCTGTAGGGAGATTTTTGTACAAGGTTTCTCAGATTTTTTCCCCAAATGAGCTCTTGCAAAATAAAGTGAATTTTTTATTTTGGAGTAGAGGTTTGAGCACGACTAAAAGATTTTGTAGCCAAGCTATTTCCATGCTGGTAAAGCTGACAGTCTGTTTTTCGAATCCAGAGCCCTAAATGAGAGCATTAATGTGCTCTTCAAGAGTGGTCATCGTGACTCATCCGAGCTCTCCGATCGTGAGCGTGGTATCTTCGATGCCCTTTTTGCGCGCTACATTGCCTACGTTAATCCCGCTTCCCGTCTGCCCGCTCGCCTCGACCTAGGCGAGTTCTATGAACACGACGCCCTTCGAGGCTTGGCCAACGATCCTGAACGTCCGTCAGCAGCCGAGCGCCAGGCCTGCCTCGACTGGCTTCAGCAGAAACGCGATTTTCTTGCCACTCGTCCTCTCGTGGGCGGGTGGCCACGACGAGTGCGCCATCGTACTGAGGACCGTTTGGTGCTTTCTGGTTTTGCTCGCTTTACTGACTTTCTAGCTCACGGGTTGGATATCCGTTTGGGTCAAGTAGTGCGTCGCGTGGATTGGACGCGACTTGATGAGGTGCGAGTGAAGACGGCGACTGGAGAGGTATTTGTGGCACCATTTTGTATCGTTACGTTGCCAGTGGGAGTGCTGAAGGGTCTTCGTCATGAAAGTGCTGTCACCTTTGTTCCTGCTCTACCACTGAGAAAACGCAAAGCGATTGACAATTTGGGAATCCCGCATTCGGGCTCCGCTACGCACAATAAGGCAAGTCATTGCGTAGACTTGTTGGTTGGGACTATTTGTTACCATTCGCATCTATTCATCCATTCTGTCATCAATCTCATCGTCTCTTCAGGTAATTCTCATCTTTCGCCCTGAGGACGTATTCTGGGACCGAACCGCAGCCCAAATAAGTAGCTCTGGTGGGCGATTACATGCCTTAAATCTCGATCTTTTCGGCCATCGAGGTGCTCTGATGTGTCACGTATGGGGCGGTTCACCGATGATGCTGACTGGTCGAACAGATGCGGAGGTGATTGCGGAGGTGATGCATCTCCTCGCCGGCATGTACCAGAAGACATTAAACTCTCATCCTCTGCCACTACCCATCTTTACTCACGTTACGCGATGGTCAGAGGACCCCTTCGCTCTGGGTGCTTACACTGCCGGGGAGCCGAGTTGCTGTGGCGATGAGGATAGGCATGCATATGCTCAGAGCCTTCCGTCCCTTGTAAGCTACAGGGGAATTCCCACTTTCGTCACTTATTGCTCTGCAAGTTCTCTTCCTCACTACGCTACAAATCACAAGGTCCCAAATTCCATATAAGTGTTACAATGCCTATTATGTTATTGGTTAACCTCTCAATTGTCGGAGGATAGCTATTTTCGGTTTTGAAAGCACGAACAGGGGATATCTTCCTTACAATTTCTCAAATGAAGCGCGAAAGGTGTAGAAATGCTGGGCCTTTCAACTTTCCAACTTTTCAAAGAATGAGTTGTAAATGACAGGGCCTTTTTAAGCCGGAAGGTCAGAGCTTCCGATGTTTAAGCCAGCTACAAGGTGTCTCCTTCCCTCCCTCTGTCCCTTACCCGTTTAAGCATTGCCAAGAGAGTAATGCTAGGCTCGTCAATCGTCTGCTCCTGAGCCATTACAATTGTGGGGATCTGTGAAACAAACGCATGCCACCGATAAAATTTGTCTTTCTCTTTTCATTGATCCTTAGTACCTGAATTGCATTTCAGAAGGTGCAGAATGGACGACTTTGAGTGCAAATATTGTGGGTTTTTGGAATGGATTTAGATCTTTTGCATTATTTCAATGGCATCTGAGTGAGTCATGTTGGGTAAGTATTTAGGTTCGCATATCCTAATCTGCTACAAAATCATGATTCTTGTGTCACTGAACATAATAGCACTCCAAGGATCAGTATTAGGAGTGTACAACCAGATCGTTTCAGCGACGAGCCAATCAAACGCAGCGTGTACGTCAAATGGAATGCCTACCACGGCTGCCTTTAGCCGAATCTTACCATGGTCTCATTCATAGCTACCCATTTGCATTCATTTTTCTCTCAAAGGGACTAAGTTGAGGAGATTTCTTTTATTCTTCTGTGGTTCCAAAAATTTCAGCAATTTTCAGTGTCGTTGTGGCAGGATAATGGGTCATAACCGAAACCCCCTTTTATTCCAAATTTACCACTTCATTGAATGAATTAATGCAAATTGGAATGTTTCGTCAACTCCGTATGTAATTCCAACTGACGGTTGAAAATCAAGGTTGTCAGTTTCGCAATGTTAAATGTAGCTACTGTCGACTCGCGTCCTAAGGTGTCAAGAAATGACGGCGGTGATGATGCGGTTTTGGAGCCTGACTTCCAGGAACCAGGGTCTAGTCGTGGTTGGACATTCTACGGAACCCGAAATTTGTAGTTTGCTCCATTGTCATACCTAGTCTTCAGATAATAATAGTGCTTGCCTGCCTGTTAATAAAGGGATTTACTGGATATCAGTGCTGGATTTCTTCCACCAAATTGAACAAATACGCGACGCCGATTGCATTGCAAAAAATTCAGCAACACTTCATTTTCGAAAGGTAATGATTGATTGCAGTTTAGCAGGTTTATTTGCGGCCTATGTGTATCTTTATATATATTATTGCTGCATGTGCCATAACCAAGCATACGATCTTGCTTCTGGAGGTATTGTGTACACGGCCACTTTAGGCGATTTTATTCCCTTTTGTCTTGTCTCCACTCCACTTTGCATGGCTCCACTCTGCAAGTAAAGTAATCTTCCGGGTTATGTATCGAACCGTCAGTTTATTTACACAGCCATCTACCGATTCCTCC